ACATCGTCTTTGAGACTCGACAGAACACCTTTAATTGTTTAACTTTCCCCTTATATGAGCATACTTTTTTTTTTTTTAACCAGCCTGTTGAAATGCAGCCCTCAATCTTTCTACGTGGCAGACGTCTGCTCTCTATTGAGAGCCTTTCTAGTAGGAGGACGAGTGCATTAACACCTACAGTACATAATGTGCCAACTAAGTGTGTTTTAAAGATGGTTTTAGAATCTACAGAGGTTGGTGTTTTTGCCTTGTCAGGGGATCTGCGGTTTAACACAGATTCAGAATTACAAAGTACAATCATCTTTAATGGCCATTGTCAATCATCTTTAAGTGTGGAAAAACACAAGGAATGTGTCTCCCCTAGGGTTGAGCCACACTAGTATTACAGAAACAGCAAAAAGAACATTTAGGATGTTACGCATAAATTCAGAGTTCCTTTCCTAGGGCGGCGACATTACTCAAATTTGCTCATGACTCAGAATAGCGATTCTCACATGGTAATCAATTCAAGATAAGAGCAATTATAGTGCAAGAAAATGCCATTTCTGGAGAAATTCTGTGTGGAGGCTGAATGAAATTATGTGGAATGATAAGCAATGCAGAGGAATGTGCAAAAAAAGTTGAAATGTTTCAAATCGGGCCAAGAAAATGGAGAAAGTAGAGGGGGTGGGAAAAAACAAAATAAAATTAAAAAATTGGGTTTTAGTTTAGAATTTAGAAAAATAAGTGAAATGGTTTAAAGTTGGAGTGGTTAGAATCAGTCAAAAAAATGTAGAATTTTGAAGGAAAAAAAAATCTGTTTTTTTCCATTAAATTTGGGGGGGAAATGGTGGTACGTCTAAGTTGAACATTTTATAGTTGGAGTGGTTAGAATCAGTCAAAACTGTAGAAATCCGAGAACAAAAACAAACAAAAAAATCTTTTGGAAATAAAAATTGAGGCAGGGACAAGCTGAACAGTTTAAATCTGCAACGGTTCAAATCGTTCATAAAAACGTACAAATTCGAGAAGACATTTTTCTTTAGTTTTTTGCTTTTATTTAATTTTGACATGTTTTCATTTTGCAGTAATTGTGGCTCCCCCCGGGGTAACCCTTGTGGTCTCTCTTTAGCTCCCTTTTCCTCAGCTGACAGACATACATGGATGGGAGATATCTGATGGTTTCGTCACACTCAGAGCAGGAAAAATTTGGAGGGTACTTCGCATCTGACGACAGATATGTGTGGCACACACACACACACAGACAGACACTATGTTGGCTAATGCCCCCGTTGACTCAATTCGACCACATTTGCTTTACGACACAAATGTGTATATTCCTGTGGCAAATTTTAAAAACCTATTTGTCACATGTTGAGTCTGAGTGTCGCATGTCACAGACAAAAAAAAAAAATCCCATCGCAGAAAATCGCTGACATCATTTACTGAGTCACATCTGTTACGTGAGTCCTGGAGTTTTGTAAATCCTTAAAAAACTGGAGTGGGGACTAATAATCTTTTTTTATGAACTTTTTTTTTTCTTTGCACCTGAAGAAACACATGCCAACAGACATGACTCAGTCATCGGGTTGGAAATTGGCAGTTTAGGGATTTTTTTCTTCTTTGAAATGGCACACTCGTGACAATCATTAAACACGAGGGACTGTTGGAATCCACATATTTGCAGAAAGCAAGTGTGATGTGATATATAAATAGATTATATACATATAAATTATAGATTTTGGTCCAGGCCTGTCCCATTGGTTTGTTTTTAAAAATAATTCTGTTGAGCCACAACTCAAGCGCAATTGTCTGATTTTCATCACTTAACTTTCATGACATTTTTATTTATTACTTTGTCAGATTCCTGTGGTTGTTTTTCATTAACTGAGGGGTACCAACAATTTTGTCTGTTGCGGTGATGTTTAGTTTATTTTGTCTTTGGCATTGGAGAAATCTAAAAGTAACTAAAAGAAAAAAAATATTTTTAAAATGTAGTTAATATTCAGATAGACGGTATGAAGAAGACTCACGCACATCAGATGATGGCATACCACAACTAACCAAACTAATTTGAAGGCTCAAGGCTCTGATGACGTCAGTGGGCTTTTTCATCAGGTAACTTGGCAGCTGAACCGTTCTGTTGAACAACTGTGGAAGGCTGCCAAATAAAAGAAGTGCTATACGTGCCAACAGTCACGTTTTGTCACGATAACTCCAGTGAAAGGGGAAAGGGTAGATCAGTAATGTGCCTCGTAAATCCCAAACGCACCGGTAGGTCCTGTTTCCAAAGTCGTAAAAAAACAACATTTCAGTGTTTCCCCACACGATCGAGTTCCAGGGTCACCCCCCTTTCACGAAAAAAAACCCCAGACTGAATTGTCTTTTTTTTTTTTCCCCTATTACGTTGCAAATTATCTGTTGCGACGTTACACATGAGATTTATGAATTGGCACAATCTAATACCGTAGTGAGCAAAAGATCTGTTCTCCAATATTAATTAGAGGAATTCCAGTAAATAAGCTAACCCGGAGACAAGGAAAACGTCTGAAAATTAGTGATTGGTCCAACAATCGCAACACCGATGCGTCGACGCATGCGTCGAGCTCACAGAGCAATCCACTTGTCGGTGCGTGTGCTGCTTCGTGACGATCACGTGACCAACACTTGAACTGCGTCGACGCAGTCAAGGCTGAGTCAGTCCAGGCTGCGTCGACGCTGCAAAAGCCCGCCAAACTGTGTTTATAAGGAAGTGCGTCGAGCGACCGATGCCGCCTGCCGAAACAAGCCAGACCTCACCCTCACTCGAATAAAAATATATATTTGGGCAAAAAGGAAAACACACAGATTATCACAAAAACGTGTCAGTCTGACTTCGAGCGTCGTGTCGGCTAGGCTAGCTTAGCTGTTGTAGTTCAAAGCTTCTTCGATACGTAACGTGGGTTGCGTCGGCGCTGTGAGTACGTGCTCGCGCTCACGCGCGCACAGCAGAGAGCAGCGGACTGTCGACTGCTGAGGCGCGCTTCACTCGAATGACGTTGCTACAGTACGTGCACATTATGGAGCAGCTCCCGGAGAAACGTAAACTGTCCGCCGTGTAGAGCCATTTTGATCTCCTTTTGGAGAATGAGGTATTTATTCAAATCTCCTTGTCTCACCAAGTGCCTCTCGGATCTTTGACATGTCTTATTCCATTCTAATTCAAATTAATTTCATGGTAACTCTTAGTTTACTCTTCACATATTTTATTGCAGGTGAAATGTCGAATTTTCCATACAGAAATATCATATACCAACAAAAGCACCTCCGCAACTACATCTGGCATGTTACTCATCATTATTAGTTTGTTTTTTTGAAACTGTTCTAAATGCCAAATTTGTTAGGTTTGTTTTTTTAGATGACCTGTGGCAATATTTGGATGATGAGGTAGGGAGACTGGGAAGAAGTGCAACAGCAGATGCTATACCTGAAGTCCAGCGATAGCTGGAAGAGGGGAAAACTGCACGCAGTCAAGACCCGCTGTTATAATCGAATTACCAACACGCTACTTTTCTAAACCTCTCCCACCCCGCAAAGCAGTTTCTCTGTATGCCGGCATCACTAGTGCCATGCGAGCGTGTGCTCTCCACAGCAGGGGAAATAGCATGCAAGAAACGCAACAGACTGAAATTCAAAACACTGGAGCAACTTATTTTTCTGAATAAAAATTTGTGAAGACAAAGCCCACAAGCCCTCATTTACATAATTTTCACCTTATTCAAACATATTGAATAATACAATATGAATGCATAGATGTGAATGATATTGTATACACTTCATCATCAAATCAGTCAGTTCAGTTTGTCAAGTGGGTTGCCTGCAGGGATTTTGAAAGTCCAGCAGGTGTCAGTGGTCAGCGACACAGTATCAACACAGTATCAACACAGTGTGTCATTGTGTCAACTCGCTTCATGAGGTCTCATGGACCCATCACTTCTGAAAATAAATTTCAGGGGTCACCAACTTTTATGATACAGCTATTTGCCTGTAGCTTCTTAAACAGATCAATTGATACACACCGGTTTGATATACAAATCTTAAGTAACAAATGGTTCAAATTACCTTAAATTGTGTTATTGATAATCATCAATCTACTTGCCTTCACTTATTTAGAGTCGGGCCCCTGGCCGTATTATGTACCGTATTTTCTTCGCGTGTGCGTGTGGCTGCTGTTGTATGTGGGAGTGAGAGCTCTTAGGCTGATTAGGATCTCTGCAGAGCCTCAGGAGCGGCCCTTCCTGATTGGCCAACAAATAACGGCGCCAAGTGTAAAGAGCCTCCGTGGCGCGACAGGAGTCGGTGGTGTATCTGATAGTAGTAGTTCGCTTGCTCACGGCCTCCAACAAGTTTTTTCAAGAATTCCTGCTTCCTCAGTTAGCAGTTCGTTCTTGAATTAGTTAGTTTTATGGTAGATCCTTTGCTGCCTTTTGTTTCTGACCTTTTTGTTTAATACTTTGTAAATAGCGTTATGAGTTGGTGCTCGAGGCATCATTTTCTAATCTGTTTATCCTAATAAAGGGCCGCGGGCGTGCTGGAGCCGATTCCTGTCTGCGGCTCCACAGGTATATCAGAGAAAGCAGAATGAAATGTTGGCAGGACTTGAAGGTGTGCAATCTATCGCAGGCGACATCGTTGTTGCTGGCTGTGGCGACAGTGAGGAGGAGGAAGTGAACAGTGACACTCAACCTCCACAAGGTGGTACTGCACGACCCCCCTGTAACACGCGATACCCGGAGGTGATCCACATGCGTACACTTAAAGCCAAAGCTGTGGTAAAAGCCCGAGTGAGGGTTTTTTTTTCCAACTTCCGGCCTGACAAGGTCCATTCGGACAGATCAAGGCACATGTCTAATTTGTTCGATTAAGTATCGGCCACTTTGTCATTTAAACACCAGAAATCCAGCCCAGGGAGCTCAAGGGCACTTCCACCACACATTAAAATAATTGTCTCGAAGCAGGAAAGGAATGAGATGAAGGGTTACCTTTTATCCTCCTTGCTGTGCCCGAGAGTGTGCAAGAATCCACGGACTTTAGTCCCGCTGAACAGATTTTTGGTCACACTGTGCGTGGTCCTCTGGTGGCTTTGGGAGAAGTACCTGTCGAACTTGGCCACTCCAATGGAATATGCTCAACTGAGTTCCTTTCGGGAGCGTTTGCGCAGCGTGTGTAAAACCACGTGCCATGAGTTGGTACGTTCGCCGAAAAAAAGAAAAATAATTGTGATTGAAAAAATGCGTGAGTTGGGAGTTTCAAAGTGGGGATGAATTAGTGGGTAATTGCTAAAAGGACGGAGCCCTCTATTAAATGAACAGGTTCACTATCAGGCTTCCGCAGAGCTTGCTGATGATCCGATCATTAGAATCAGGTGTGTTGCAACAGGGAGCGTTGGAAAATATGTAGGACAGCGGCCCTCCAGGACTTAAGCTTGACACCTATAGGCCGTATCTTCACAAGGGTTGCGGGGCGTGCTGAAGCCTATCCCAGCTGTATTTGGGCAGTAGGTACACCCCGATCCGGTTGCCAGCCAATCGCAGGGCAGGTCCTTACGTAGTGTGGGAGAAATTGATCGGGACGGATTATGTGGTAGGGAAACCGGATCGGAACAGAAAATACTGCGTTTGACACATTAACATGATCAAATTGTATGTATCCCGTGTGCATACTGTCGCTGACGCCCCCCCCTACCCCACACTGTTGTTGCTGCGACAGTTCTTCCAACTTTGCTTCCCTCAAAATATTCCACAGAGAGTGACGGCTTCAAGTTTCGAGTGCGCTCCCGTGTTCACATCTTCAAACCGAAACTTTGAAGGACATAAAAAGTAACTTTCTCTCGGCCTCCAAGTGTCTTCAAGAATTCGTGCTTCCCTAGTTTAGTAGTTAGTTGTTTGTTCTTGTATTCGTCAGTGTTAGGGTCGATTCTTTGTGTGCCAGCTTTTACTGCCTGGTAAAGCTAAATAATGGGACACTTCTTATATTTGATTGTTCAAGTGGGCAATATTTTTGCATAGAAAAGGGGAAAAAAATTGGAAAACTTTTGCCATATTCTACATTCATTCATGAATAAATTTCAGACACAGGACTCATATGTGTGGTTTTTAATTAAAAGCAAGCAGACAAAAGTACGGCAGTTGCAGATGACTGAACAGAAAAAAAGACTGCAAATAAAATGTGCAGAAGATCTCCCCCAAAAAATTAAAAGGATTTTTTTTTTCAACAAACATTTTACAGTGCTAAATTTGTCGGTGCTACAGAATGTTGGTGTACTTACAAAGAGAAACAAAAAGAAATGAATGCAATAGTTCCCATGATCCCAAGTGAGTTGGGAGGTCCTGAATGGAGAAAACACCGAAGAGGAACCATCAATTACACCCTTGTGATCGTGACGATAGCTTGCTGGTGGTGTGTCACATGGCGCTCTGCAACAAAGAGATGCTATCGAGTACTTTCCGGCAGGACGTTTTTGGAGGTGCAGTTGTCAAAAGAAATTCAAGAACAGACGTGAGTAACCTGATGTCACAAAAAGCTCCCACGAGAGGGTTCTCCTGCCTTACAGGAACGCACATCCACATGCCTTCTCTCAAACACACGCAGCAAACAAAACCCAACACCGTCGACAAAAGGTCCAAGCAGTGCTATAAGCTGACAGACCATCTGCAGAGCATTAACCTGAAATCTGGCAACCAAAACACAATGTCGTTATATGCCACAAATAAAAGGTCAATAAGGCATGTGCGAAAATGTCTGTAAAAATATATGGAAAAAATACAATTGAATCTTTTTGTTTTTTTCCCCAAGCTACGTGAAGGTGACGCTACCTTCTCTGCCCGGAGACTGGACCTGAAACAAGGATATCTTAAGGCAGGTGAGAGGAGAGGTTGTGGGAGGCTACAGGTGAGAATGGCACAGGATTGCCCTGGTGAGAACATTCGCTAAGACAGCGTACGCAGAAAATGAGCAACGATTCCCCGCTGGCTCCAGTCAAGACAGTCCTTACAATCCACTCGTCAGTTAAAAATACATTTGCTTACATGGTGAATATGTAAAAGAAAGCCTGCGGTTCCATTTGTTTTTGGGATTGAGCCATTTCATTGAACATTCGCTAGTTTGGGCTGGACACGGCTAACGGTGAGGAGCTTCATGTACTCTTGAGTGCTAAGCACAAAAGCTGACGTACGAAAGAGGAGTAAACCGTGTGCGTCTCCTCGCCTTCTTTAAAATCATAATCTCTTTCCTCATCTAAAAACCACAGATCAAGAACCTCTTTGAAAAAGGGGGGAGTTACAATGCGTAGGAAAACAAACAAAACAAAAAGCACTCCAAAACATTAGACCATGAAAAAATAAACACTGTGAAAAATCCATGCAGTGCGACTCACGTCGACGTCTTATTGCTTCCTCCTTTTTTTTTTTTAACAATCTGTGAGCGTATCTTTCAGTGAGCGGCAGACTGAGGGCCCGCCATGGCGTTACTGGCTTTCTTCCTTCTCTTGGTGAGCAGCGGATTGGTGGAGTCCTCAATGGTCTTTATCTTGATCTGCTCATAGTCAACCCTCATGGTCGCCAAGGCACTGGTCATTTCCTCCTGAACGATGAGCACAGTCGGCACATTGGTACATTTCAGCAGCAGCAGCAGACCGAAAACAAGCAACCACGTGACAGACCTTGACATCCTCCCACGCATCCTTCTCTTCCTTTAACACCCGGCTAGTGTGCAATGGCGTCTGAGGCACCTCCATCGATTGCTGCGGGTAGACAGGCGACAATCTGGCTTCAGTGGACAACATCTTTCAAATCAACTGAACTCAGAGAGAGCAAGGGTGTTTACATTAATCCAGGGGTGATTCATAAACTCCGTGATGGTCATCCTCTGGGTGGGCTCCGTCTTCAGGAGGGTCCGTATCAGTTGTTTAGCTGTAATTGAAAAACAGCACTTGGAGTTGGTCAAGCTCTTTTGAACACCGGCTGCATTTTAGCGATGTGAAAGAAAACAATCGGATTGGAATTCAACTGTTGACAGTCCGCATGAAGACAGTTTTTTTTTTAAATCTCAGCAGCATTTCTACAATATCCTACTACAATACAACCTCCAAAGTCAATTACAACCAAAAACATAATTTTGAGTGAAAACTAAATTTTGATGTCTTCAGCTCAGTGAGAATCTCAAAGTTGCCTCAACAAGTCTATTTTGCTTCTGTTTTTGCTGACTTTATTTGTCCTAAAAAAACATCTTTTGAGTCGCTACACAGCAAAACCAAGACACCCACCAACACCAACACCGGCACCTCGCTCAGCCACAGACGCCGTAATGGGACACGTTTGCGACTGAGCACAATTTTTTTTTTTTTGGGAGCAATTTACAAAAAGGCTCTTGGTGTCTGCTTTTAAGACATTATTGGAAAATTGGGAGGCGGACATCTCTTTGAAGAAGTTCTGTCTGATTTTTGGGGCTGAATGATTGTGAGAAATTTTTGACAGAAGTTAAGCTCGTTTATTTCATGTTTTCTAATATATTGGCTGTTGATTACTATTTTTTTTTTTTAAATGAGTGAAATTTTGAATTTAATCAGCGTCACAGAATATATTGTGTTCAAACTTGGCAGTTCCACTACAGGTTAAGTTTGCCTTCACCTGAAGAGCTTGATTTGTAGACATGTCTAACTTTCGCTCCAACCTTTTGTGTTGGCAGCCAAACTCAAAAAGCACACGTGTAGTTTTGCCATTATCATCACCTTCTTCTGATACGTCAGACCACTCGGGATTTGGAAACTCATACTGTCCCATCCGAATCCTCTTCTTCATCCCGGGAGAAATGGCGAGACCGTGGTTTGAATAGAAAGGGGGGTACCCACACAACCTAGAGGAGGAGGACAGTTACATGCTGCACGACTCGAATAATTTCACGTGATGCGACGTGAAGAAAGACTTGACTTACAGAATATACATAATGACACCTAAAGACCACATGTCACAAGATTTGTCATATTTTTCTGGGCCCAGAACCTCTGGAGCTGTGGAAAGTGAAAGGGATACACGAAAATTAGGACAACGTGGCTTAGTGGACAAGCCACGGGTGAAACGTGAAAAGCAAACGCAGAGGAGAACTCTTACCAACATAGTACGGCGTGTAGCATGGAGTAGCAAGAGAGTTGTGTGAGGTGGTTTCCTTGGCAAAGCCAAAGTCTGTGAGTTTGAGCAAAGCGCTGGGCCTCTTGGTGGAGTACAGTAAATTCTCTGGCTGCGGGACGGTTCACATCGGTTACTCAAGTGGGTGATCGTCGTTTTGCTTTTGACCTCTCGGTCGGACCGTTGCAAACAGAGAAAACGTTCATACGAACCTTAACGTCTCTGTGTGCGATGTTGACGGCGTGGAGATATTGGATGGCCTCCCCTATGCTCTTCATGATGTCAGATGCCTCTGGCGTCAAGAATAAACAGGTTGAAAATAGAAAAACCGCGAGCGGAATACGCCAGCGCTGTCGCATTATACTGCGGCAGTAATTTGGGAAATGCAGCCAGTGTGCTTTGATACCTCGCTCTGTGAACGCCTGATCCCCTCTGTCCTGGATTCGACTGAAGAGTTCACCCCCGTCCATGCTAAAATGACAGATGTGTCCATTATCAATGTTGAAACAATTCTGATTTATAATAAAATCCAATGATGTGACAGATCGTGGCACACAAAATATTCCACTTGATTTTACTTGAATGCACGACACGCATCCGACGGTAGTTGCGGAGCACACAAATTTGCCGAGTTCACACGCTTGCAGTCATCATTTTAGCCACAGGCCATGCGACGGCGCATGTGAACTTTGGTTTGCGGTACAACTGGTTGAAATGATGTATGGGAATATGCTAATCAATTGAATCGACGTGATTCATTTCAGGCTTCTTTATGACTGTGAGTTTCAATTGAAATCACAATTTGGGGTTTTGTGTGTGTGTGTGTGTGAGACCAAAGATGCATGACTGCACATTTTTTCGTTCTTCAAGCATGCATGTTGTGTGGGCAATCTTTGAGTGAGGGGGCGGTTCTAACCACAACGCACTTCAAATTTCTCAAAATCTATCTGTCACTATTCGCTTACTGAGAAATGAAAGTTCAGCTGAGCATACTCGATCACCCCAATGATCACCTGATGAGAACCCGAGAGCTTGTTACAATTTTTTTTAATCCCTTTTGATACATTTTGGGATGGTTAGGCCCCACCTCACCATGATTGTGTTCAGTGGGAAGCGATGAATTGTCATCAGCGATGAGAATGGCGCCACTGAATACACATATCTGACGTCATCGCAGCGATCCCAGGCTCTCATTTTACATTCTCATGTCCAAAATAAAGACTCCACACCAAAAGGGAACATCATGAAGGGTAAAAACAATCAGACAAGTAAAAATAAGCCTCTCGTTTTGCAGAGGGATTGTAGCTGTCGAAGTACACAAGTTAGACACCCAGCAAACTTTAGTTTGCATGTTCAGAAAATTTTCAAGTATGCATTTGCCCGTGCAACGTTTTAGTATTTTAAGCATATGGTGTCATTTGATGTCCTTCCATAACTGCATCATGTAACCTGAAATTACCATTTCAAGACCAAGACCGAACTTTTCGCTTTTATTCATAAAAAAAAACAACTAAGGTCCTCATTTTGCATTTCAAACGGTTTGTGACCCACAGACCTCTAAGAACCTTTCAGGTATGAAAAAGTCGATCTGAGAGAATAACCCATAAAAGTTGAATTGAACGCAACAGAGAAACTGAATGAGTGTTTGGCACAATTGCCTCACAATTGTGAGGTTTGGGTTCGAATCTCTGCTCAGGCCAGTATGTGTGGCGTAGTTGAGTTTTAGTAGTTCAATCAATTCAAGGTTTTGAAATCAATAATGTTTGCTTTAATTGTGATTTCAAAATACACAACGCAAGGTCTTGTCGGTGTGAGCGTGTGTTTGTGACTGAATTTGTAAACTCACCACTCCATAACAATTAGCAGGCATTTTCTGCTTTGATAAAGGTTCTCATAGACATCAATAATCCGTACAATGTTGGAACAAGGCGATGCCCTCCAGTGAAGCTCCACCTCCCTACGTGCTTTTGAGCAATCTTGCAGCATCTAGACACCACGGGCAGGAAAAAAAAACACAAAACAAATTCACAGATTAATGGAGAAGACCAGGCAAGGCATCATCAATCACTCATTAGGATGCAGTAGCACGCAAGACAGAGAGAAGTCCAATGCTGGCATCATCTGGCTAAATATAGACCATGCATTGCAGAGCTTAAGTACAGATATGGCGCCCTCTTGCGATGGAACTTGATCAATGCACACAGAGCGATTTTGTGATTAATTATGAATTTTTTTTTTTACTCTGTTCTAAGGCCACCATTTGATCAAAAGGCAACCTGTTTTCACGTTTTATGGCTGAGGGCAATCAGAATCATCATATTCGGAAATTGAACAAAACTTTCTAGATATGTGAAAATATTTGACAAGTCACAAGGAAATGCGGAACATTTTATCCATGCAAAAGAATTCATTCAGCCTTGTAGCGCGGAAAATGATCGTTGCTCGGTCATGCCATGAATCGCGTGGCTTCCCAAGCCTGGCCACAGACAACACAGCGGTGGTCTTCATGCCAGTGCTCCCCTCAGTGCTGGAAGTGTTCGCCTCTTTCAAGTTTCACATACTATCGACTAACAATTATTTTAATAATCGATTAATTTGCTGATTATTCTTTTTGATTAATCAGTGAGTTGGATTAAACAAAAACATTTTTTGAATGTACACCTGTTCATTTAAAATTGAGGAGAGTGCAGAAAATATGATGATTCAGTTCATGGTTTGGTCCATAACATGTCAGAAAACGCTCACTGCTTTCCACAGTAATGGCAGCCCAAATCTCCCATTTTAATAAAAAAACAAGATAATGACTCCACTTTCATGGGCAACAAAAGAAATTGGAGAATATTTACTGTCAAGAGGCTGAAATTTGAATTTGGTCTAAGTTCGATTAATTTAAATTGTTGCACCTCTAATACAATAGTTGTGAGGGAGAACTCAACTCTGCTCAGCAGACTAACTTTAGCTTAGCTATAATTTGACGAGTTAACAGTCAATTTAAGAGAACAAAGCCGCCCAAAATATCTAATAGCACAACTACTTTCCAAGGATTCGACAGTATACTGTTGTGCACCTTGTGATGTAGTGTCATATGTCATGTTTTTACAGCCGCGCTGCCCTACAGTGCCATAAATGCGTGTCTGCGGATAGATGCTAGCCAAATGTAGCATTGTTATCATTTCATTAACTGCTCAAACAATCCACAAAGTGGAATATCACCCTTGTCATTCAAAACGTAATGAACTCATATCCTCTGAGAGCGCAAGCACTTTAGTTGACCGAGCATCTCAGATGTAATTTAACTTGTTGCCTGACCCATTGTTGACATACGTTTTATTGTTTTCCTCACCAGATTGTGACACTTAGGCTAACACCGCAGCTAGCACTTCATAGACAGAGAACTGCTTTTTGAAAATATTAGTCATTCATCATCATGGTCGATCATCTTGACCGTAGCGTAATTTCAATTTTTTTTTTTTTTACGATTATACTTTAAAAGTTGAGAATTGTTATTCACTATTCGTGGTGGGGCTCGTTGGCTGTTCCCTGCGATATTACCGTTTTCTCAACTTTGTTTTTATGTGGTGAGAGTAAAAAAAAAAAAAAAAAAAAAATCACTCTCTGACATTGTGGAGTAATGAACCTTGTGCAACGCGTTTCCAAATTCATCGATCTTTGAAAATCTCAGCTCATCCAACTAATACATCTACATGAAGGCTCATCTTTACTGGGCGCAAATAACTGCCACCATTTGTCGTAATAATATTTAAACTGTGTTTTTCTGTGTTTTGCTCAGGCAGGAAATTTTAACGTCTTGTTGAAATGTCAAAGAGGAACTAGCCAGAGCTGTAAGAAGAGAAGACAAGGCCCTGAACCAAAATAGCGTAGCTAAATCTAAATATAACAAACACTCCCCTCACCCCGACACCCACCTTTTGCTTCATTGACAAAATATATACAGACACCTCCATTACACCCCCCACTGTTTTTTTTTTTTTTCCAATAACTGTGCGGCCCGCCCATCTGTTGTGGCCCCTCTGAGACTAAATCCAGAAGCCTGGTGAGAAGGAGGGGGCAGATGGGCACACAATGCACTTCCTAAAGCAAACACAAAAACCTCCAGAGCCACTGGCAGGAGACACTGGGAGGTGGGGCGAGGGAAAGATGCAGGAGTGTCCACCTGCCACTTGAGCCGCAGCCTGGATGGAACCGGAGAAATCGCGCTGAAGGGGTGATAAGGCAGTGAAATTGGGCGGAGGGGGAGAGATTACAGAGGGACCTGTTAAGCTTGAATCGGCAGTCAGGAAAGCCTCTTTGGGGGTTCAACAAGAGAATGTGTTTCTGGACGTGTTTGCATAGTACGGAGGCAAACATGTTTGTGTCAATGGGACAATCTGATTAGTGATATCCGTTAAACTGTATACAAGATCTGTACAATTGCCGTATTCATATTGTGTGGACTGGAAACGCTGGTGTGACCATCCCTTTGAATTGGAAATAAGTACAGATAGAGATTCTGAACTACAAAAAAAATTAAATAAAAAGAGACAGACCAGTGGATTTCCCCTGATGTAAAATTAGAATAGGTAGGTATTCTATTGTGCCAGTATACGCTTATTTGCACGAGATACGAGCTATGACGGTGGCTGGCAAAGACATGGGTTCATACGTAAAGTGCCCCAGGGCACAACACATTCACGAAAATGAGTGCCTGACCTTGAGGAGGAAGTGAGAGTGAAATTGAAACAACAAATAGGGAAGGACATAAGACACTATCACAAATAACTATGCCACTTCCTCTGGATTGGCTGGCAGATTTAGCATAAACTGTATTGGTGGTGGCCTTCATTTTTTTTAACTTATCAGTTAAAAACTGCCAAATACTGTATATCACGCAGGTTACTTGATGTGGCGGCCCCTGATTGATAGGGGACGAAGCCGAAAGTCAAATGACAACAAACGGTCAGTGGACGGACACGTACCATATTTTTCGACTACAAATCACTCCGGATTATAAATCGCATTTTGGGGGTGAAATTACAAATTGGATTCAAAAGAGCAGTATTTTGCCAGCAACTAACTGTGCTGGCACTACATTAAAGCCGTGTAAGATCAATTCAATATATCATAAAATACAAGTCCTAAAATCATGAATTAAATACACATTATTTTGCAGAGGTCTACTATTGTTTTTGGCCCCTTTCATCTCACTGTCATGAATCAGGCGGCGGCAGTAGAATTACAGTTGATCCCATATAGCACAGGTGCTGCCTAATTTTGCGTTCGTTGACTGTATAAGCGGCTTATAGGCCAAGATGAGTAGTCTGGTATAGCGACCCTAGTGAGGAAAAAAGACTAGGATTATATATGGATGTATGGATTTTTTTTTTTATGCTAATCTGTTTATGACAAGTGTGTCACAGAAACAGATTTTCACAATAAGCTTGAGGGAGACGGACGGGGGTCTTTGGTCGGGGGTTAAATACTGTAATATTTAAATCCCACAGACTGACATATAGATCTCTATGCGGAAAAAAAAAAAAAAAAAAACAAAGACAAAAAGCGCTGGGACTACTCAACGGGAGATTTTATGCAAGGCTGCTCTCCGGCAGGGCCGAGCGAGTAAGGGGGGGAATGCTCGAGGTGGCTCTGCACGTGCCTCTTTGCCGCTTGATGCCCCAAGTGCCTCTAAAAAAAACAGATTTTTTTTTTAAAATGTGTTTGTGTGTGAAAGCATATTTGTAGGTCTTCTAAGATAAAATGTTATGTCACTCAGCCTGAAATTTGTTTGGCTAAAACTCCTTTGGGAATCAACAAATTTAAAAGTGTTTGACTTTGCAAGTACAGTCTGTGAGTGAGAGTGGGGAGGGCAGCTTTTGTTGCGCAATGGGTCAGAGCCACCATAAAAGGGCAAGCAAATCAGGCAGTTGCAACCCCAAATATATCCCCGGCTAATTTACCTCGACATACGCACACTTCATGAGTGCAGTGAGGTGGTTGTTGTTGTGAAAAGCTCACCAACAGGGAGACATCTGACTTGTGGTTCACTTAAGAAACAGGGTGATTGTCGGCACACCCGAAGTTCACTGAAGCTGGTCCGACAGGGCCACCAGCACAAATTTGAGAAAAACATGTTCGTTCTTGCTTCTGTAATATCTAATATTAAGAGTTTTATCCACTTACATGAATAACCTTTGTTCTTTTCACCCCACTGTGAACATTCCATCGCCCCAATTAATTGTGTGCTACATATTCGATTTGGCCACCGAGCGTACATCATCCACAAAACTGTTCGGAAAAGTCTTTGCGACTTTGAACGAATCCTGACCCCCCCCCCCAAAATAAATAAATAAATCTACATTCACCACCTTGGCAAACACTCGCAAGCCTTCGTCGCCCAGTGGGAGACGATCTTACGTGTTAAGCAAGGGCGATGAAAGAGAAAGTCAAGTCGTCCAACCAACAACCTCTCCCTTCCTTGCGGCCTCCCTCCTATTCCTTCCTTCCTTCACTTATATTTCAATCCTGGAAAATGTCAGACTTCCTCCTTGATGGTATTAACCTTTAATCACACTTGAACTGTAAATCCTGACGCCAGTTGAGACTGTCTGACTGCCACTTGAAATCGGAATATTTCTGGAGACGGTTTGGAAAGTCCTTTGTCCAAATACAAATTCTTTTTACAAGTGGCTAACAGCCCCGGTCTTCAACCAATTGTTTGCAAGTGGTGCTTACATCACGACGGTGGCTTTAATGTCAATCCAGGAAACCAAACTACGAACTCCGACTCCAGTCAACTTGCCTCACTGTGCGTTCTTCGTACCATTACCATGATGCCACGCATGATGTGGCAGGTGCAGAGTAGTGACCTTAAAGACCAACAAAACCTTTTTATGTTTGTTGTTCTTTGACTATGCAATGCCATAAATAGTGGAAATGGTGTTGCTGATACATTACATTTTATTTGATACCGTTCTAAATGGGTCATTACCAAAACAAGAACATTTTTGAACCCCTTTTCCTTCATTTTACTTCCCAAGTTATCTTTATATTTAGCATGTTGTGTCTGTAATTTTTCACATCAGCCTGAAAGTTATTCACCTTATTTGCAGGTCCCATGAGCCTTCCTCTCAATTATGTGTGCAACTTCCAGTATGAACCGAAGCCGGCATTTTGTTTACATGGTAACAAGTTGCGCAAGTCCACTTTCGATGACAGACTGAAACAATGTGAGAACGCTAGTTGTCGCAGCTTAAAAGCGAAAACATTTCAATCCAACTTCCTCCAAATGTAGCGGGGTAGGAGGAGGAAGATATGAAATAGTGGCCAGCGAGAGGGTACAGTCGCGTATTTAGCTACTTTCAGAACTCTGTCGCTTCAGACGATGAGGCAGTGAATAATCTTAAAAGCTCTCAGGCGTTATCAGCACTTACACAGTAATAAAGTTGACCGCGTTCTGTTAAACAAGTTTGGATGAAGTATTATTTACCTACCACACATGGCACTCAGTCAAACCCTTAATTTGATATACATCCGATGATTTGGCCTTTAATTCAGATTACGGATAAAGCAACTTCCTCCAAATGTAGCGGGGTAGGAGGAGGAAGACATGAAATAGTGGCCAGCGAGCGCGTACACTCGCGTGTTTAGCTACTTTCAGAACTCTGTCGCTTCAGACGATGAGGCAGTGAATAATCTTAAAAGCTCTCAGGCGTTATCAGCACTTACACAGTAATAAAGTTGACCGCGTTCTGTTAAACAAGTTTGGATGAAGTATTATTTACCTACCACACATGGCACTCAGTCAAACCCTTAATTTGATATACATCCGATGATTTGGCCTTTAATTCAGATTACGGATAAAGCAAATCCCGTCACAGTAACAGTATCTTCCATGATAAAACTTAAGTGTAAAAATAAGCATTACGTTTTTTTTTCTTCCTGTACCCATACCGTATGTCTTTTTCTTCTATGTAATGAAATAAATTAGGGCTGCCTGCAACGAATGATTATGTAATAATCAATTCATTTGTTGATTATTTTGTCGATTAATTGATGAATCAGATTTTAAAAAACAATTTTGCCAGGAGAAGAGGGCAAAATTCCCTATAAGTAGACACAAGAAACTGGTTGGTGGATATGGAAAATGTTTGGTGGAAGTAACAACTATAAGAGGAGCCACTAACACGGAATCAAAGGGCTGTCTTACTTTCGCACGTTCAAGTTGTAATTTTTGTGAATAAACCACTTGTGTATCTCCATTATTAGGAATGTGTGCGTTAATTGGGATTTAGAAAAAAACGTTTGAATGTGTCCATGTCTGGAGGGTTCACAAACTTCAAGCACGACTGTACAGCAACAGAGCATTACTGAGAACTCGGGAGGGGAAAATAAATCCGTTCTTAGGCATTTCGTGTCGAGGGCAGTGTGTCCGAATCGATTAATACATTTCAGCGAATTGATTTTTCAACAACAAAATGCTTCTAGAACAAAAACAAGTCAGAAGTGCGGCTGTTGCTGGTCAGCAATAGTGGTGCAAGAGTATACAAGAACCAATAAAGCCACGACGTGTCACAGATCAGAGCGGTAGAATGTATGTGGAGAGCAGTGACCCACTTCTTCAAGTTCGACAGTACTATTTGAACCACCACACAGGATGTTTTCACGCTATGATTCACTTGGCCGTGACTTTGCGCAATCAATTTTTTGAACCACCTCTGGGGGGGAGAAAAGGCTTAAAAACAATATCTTGACCGGACCGCCTCAACATGTGCCAGTACAGTATTTATTAATCATTGACCAACCACAGCTTCCCTAAAAAGGAGTGTCACAAACAGGATTCCAGATTTTAGGGAACTACACTACTTGAGAAATATTTCACCAGCAAAACACCTGAAATTGTTGTACCATGTCATAGTAGTGGCTGATGAATGCGGAAACCTGCCTTAGCCAACATAGAAACAGTAAAAGAAAAAAAATCCAGTGTAAAAAATAGATATGCACCACTGGACCCAGTCCGCCACTACTTGTGAACCCCAATTTTGTGTGATTATGTCACGTCAGGTCTATTTGAGCTCCCCACAGAAAAATGCATTCTGGCGGGTTAAAATGGGTTTTCCACGTCTATTTTTAGATATGACGTGCAGTGGAATCCCCTCTTATCGCTTCGTTTTCAAATAGGTGATTTTTATACAGTTGTATTTTTCGCAGGCACAGCGGGATAACTCATTGGCAGCCCCAAAACACCTCAAAAGGGAGCTTGCTTTATTACATCAACATATTTCATCTAATTTAGAGTTATTTGAGGCAGTGAAAATGACATTTAGTTTTTACAATGCCAAATGGAATGATACAGTGCCAAAAGTGTTGATCATTCCGAATTGATAATTAAACAATTAATATAATTATTTCCATCCATCCTCTTAACTGCCTATCCTCAAATAGGCCATTAAGTACAATTATAATTCCTCATCTTGTGAAATTATACTTTTTTTTACAGTGTTGCTTCTTTATAATTCAGTCCACACTGTAAGAAACTGTGAGGCCTCAAGGTTTCATCTTAATTCTCTTTCTAAAAACTGATGACAGGGTATTCTATTATTCTGAGTTAAAAACAAAGCGTCACTTTTGCCACCCTTTTCAAGTCTTAAAAATTTCATAACTTCCTTAAATTTTTTAACAACATTGATAACATATGAACACCATTTTATTCCTACAATAAAGGGTCTACAAACAAAGGAGTGACTTAAGTCACCTATAATCAATGGTGAGTTTTAATTTTTAAAAAAATGTAACAAAGACAGCAAAAAAAACAACATTAAAACAATTATTTTTAACTAGAGATATGACGACTGTACGTATTCTGAAGGGCAAAAAAAAAAAAAAACAACATGATACAAAGAGCATTACTTTCCTCAGTGACAAAAAAAAAAAAAACATGATACAAAGAGCATTACTTTCCTCAGTGATATTTGTGTTGGACATGTGTGGTTCTGATCAACTTTTTTTCTTCTCTTTGGCAAGTTATGACAACTCAAGCAGGAAGGGATCCAGATAATCGCCTGGGAATTTTCTTCACGTGAGACAATGGGTTCCGCTTTAGAAGAGTACACACATCCGATGTTGCTTTTCAAGTCATGCCTACCTTTAGCGCATACTTGTCTCCGGTTTTCCTCTGGAAAATTTCAAGCACCTTGCCATTGATTCCAAGCCCCAGCACCTGACTGGTCACTTTGTAATCGTCTGTAATGGCGTTCTTCTTGATCTGTAAGGAGGGTCTGCTCAAGAAGGGGAGAAATTGGCCCGCAGGGTTCGGCTGTCCGGCGGGATTCTGTTGCCCGGTCGGGTTGGGAAAGAGCGGTTGGTTCTGTGCGTTGGTTAGCATTTCTATTCGTCTGAGGTAAAGCAATAACCTCTCGTCCGGCCTGTTTCAAAGTCCGTTTTTTCAAGGCAGGGGCTTCTTCCTGGATTAGCTTCCTTTTGACAAACTATTGGCGGTGTCGCAACCAGGCCCGAGGAAGCAAACCGCGGCCAGCTTCCGTCGGACGCTAACTAAGTCACTCGGTTAGCCGAGAGAATGCTAAACTAGCTAGCCGTTAGCATGTCCACCCGCTCCTATTATCGACCTTTGACTTTTCGGCTAACGAGTCAGCTCACGGTTAGCTTATCCATCTCTGGTACTGGTCGCCACGCACCGGTTCTTCCAAGAACACTCAATAAACTTTTTGTCTTCGGCTAAACCATGGCCCAAAAATGTTTTCGAGAGGCGCCGCGTCGCCAAGTGGCGATGGTCGAACAAAAATCAGAAGAGTTGAAGAGAAGGCGAACGGAACAACGGTGATGAAAGTTGGGTTAGCAGTTGGAAGCACGGCGAACACTTCACTTTTCCGAGGGCCAAGTCAGTCAGTCAGACACCCAGCCAGAGCAGGTTTTACTACTGACGTCATCGTCTCGTTTGCGACGCTTAAAGGAGAAGCCGAGCCGTAATATTTATTGTTCGCAACACTTTTTGAAAATAAAATCCTTTCCAGTCACATTCAAAGAATGTGTGTCTCTTGTAAATACTCGCCTTTGGAGTATTCTGGAGTTGATTAAATGTCATCTGACCGGAAATTCTACCGGAACGCAACTGAATGACAGAAATTGACGTAGAACATGGTGATGCCCTTTTAAATTCTGTATTTCAAATAAAGTAATTCAATTTAAAATACCACACAACCTTGCAATAATTCACTCTCCAAATTCACTGTGACTGAGATGATAAATGCCCCTTCTGTGGGAGTGAGTCAGAGACAATTATACATTTATTTTCTAATTGCCCCGTTCATGATAATTTTGGAGAGATTTTGAAAAATATAGATGTGAAAAAACTGGGCACTTTTACTGAGTTGGTGTTGTTGTCTTTACCGATAGCAGTTTCACTCGAGAGCCACTTGTACTGTTTTGACAGTAAAAGCTGGAAAGATAAAAATAGACCTGATAATCTCTATAACCAGCCAGCCAGTCAGCCCCACGGCCATCCCAAGGTTGCAAAGTGGTAAAGGTGATTGGCTGTGTTCTTACCCCTACTGTACTTCCAAATGGGGCCATGGACATGATGTCTATTTTTTGAAAATTATTTTTGGTATTAACTTATTAGATGAATAGAAAAGTATTTAAGCATTCATTCAATATCCTTGATATCGAGGTAAAGGTCCAAGTACAGTACTAGTACAAGCTTTGTTCTCACAGGTAAAGCAATACCACGCCTCCAGCCTTCATGTTTCTCAGTCAGCTGAGAAAGGCTTTAGCTGAAATAAAAGACTAGAAATTGGATGGATAGTAAACTACTGAGACTAGTAACTATGGTAAGCAAGTCGTACAGGCCTGGGTCACGCGCTCGGCCCCTTGGACCTTAATAGCAGCACCAAAATGTCCACAAGTGGTTTTGCCTCACTAGTTACCTCCTTGATGGTATTAACCTTTAATCACACTTGAACTGTAAATCCTGATGCCAGTTGAGACTGTCTGACTGCCACTTGAAATCTGAGTATTTCTGGAGACGGTTTGGAAAGTCCTTTGTCCAAATACAAATTCTTTTTACAAGTGGCCAACAGCACCGGTCTTCAACCAATTGTTTGCAAGGGGTGCTTACATCACGACGGTGGCTTTAATGTCAATCCAGGAAACCAAACTACGAACTCCGACTCCAGTCAACTTGCCTCACTGTGCGTTCTTCGTACCATTACCATGATGCCACGCATGATGTGGCAGGTGCAGAGTAGTGACCTTAAAGACCAACAAAACCTTTTTATGTTTGTTGTTCTTTGACTATGCAATGCCATAAATAGTGGAAATGGTGTTGCTGATACATTACATTTTATTTGATACCGTTCTAAATGGGTCATTACCAAAACAAGAACATTTTTGAACCCCTTTTCCTTCATTTTACTTCCCAAGTTATCTTTATATTTAGCATGTTGTGTCTGTAATTTTTCACATCAGCCTGAAAGTTATTCACCTTATTTGCAGGTCCCATGAGCCTTCCTCTCAATTATGTGTGCAACTTCCAGTATGAACCGAAGCCGGAATTTTGTTTACATGGTAACAAGTTGCGCAAGTCCACTTTCGATGACAGACTGAAACAATGTGAGAACGCTAGTTGTCGCAGCTTAAAAGCGAAAACATTTCAATCCAACTTCCTCCAAATGTAGCGGGGTAGGAGGAGGAAGATATGAAATAGTGGCCAGCGAGAGGGTACAGTCGCGTATTTAGCTACTTTCAGAACTCTGTCGCTTCAGACGATGAGGCAGTGAATAATCTTAAAAGCTCTCAGGCGTTATCAGCACTTACACAGTAATAAAGTTGACCGCGTTCTGTTAAACAAGTTTGGATGCAGTATTATTTACCTACCACACATGGCACTCATTCAAACCCTTAATTTTATATCCATCCTATGATTTGGCCTTTAATTCAGATTACGGATAAAGCGAATCCCGTCACAGTAACAGTATCTTCCATGATAAAACTTAAGTGTAAAAATAAGCATTACGTTTTTTTTTCTTCCTGTACCCATACCGTATGTCTTTTTCTTCTATGTAATGAAATAAATTAGGGCTGCCTGCAACGAATGATTATGTAATAATCAATTCATTTGTTGATTATTTTGTCGATTAATTGATGAATCAGATTTTAAAAAACAATTTTGCCAGGAGAAGAGGGCAAAATTCCCTATAAGTAGACACAAGAAACTGGTTGGTGGATATGGAAAATGTTTGGTGGAAGTAACAACTATAAGAGGAGCCACTAACACGGAATCAAAGGGCTGTCTTACTTTCGCACGTTCAAGTTGTAATTTTTGTGAATAAACCACTTGTGTATCTCCATTATTAGGAATGTGTGCGTTAATTGGGATTTAGAAAAAAACGTTTGAATGTGTCCATGTCTGGAGGGTTCACAAACTTCAAGCACGACTGTACAGCAACAGAGCATTACTGAGAACTCGGGAGGGGAAAATAAATCCGTTCTTAGGCATTTCGTGTCGAGGGCAGTGTGTCCGAATCGATTAATACATTTCAGCGAATTGATTTTTAAACAACAAAATGCTTCTAGAAAAAAAACAAGTCAGAAGTGCGGCTGTTGCTGGTCAGCAATAGTGGTGCAAGAGTATACAAAAACCAATAAAGCCACGACGTGTCACAGATCAGAGCGGTAGAATGTATGTGGAGAGCAGTGACCCACTTCTTCAAGTTCGACAGTACTATTTGAACCACCACACAGGATGTTTTCACGCTATGATTCACTTGGCCGTGACTTTGCGCAATCAATTTTTTGAACCACCTCTGGGGGGGAGAAAAGGCTTAAAAACAATATCTTGACCGGACCGCCTCAACATGTGCCAGTACAGTATTTATTAATCATTGACCAACCACAGCTTCCCTAAAAAGGAGTGTCACAAACAGGATTCCAGATTTTAGGGAACTACACTACTTGAGAAATATTTCACCAGCAAAACACCTGAAATTGTTGTACCATGTCATAGTAGTGGCTGATGAATGCGGAAACCTGCCTTAGCCAACATAGAAACAGTAAAAGAAAAGCCAGCCAGTCAGCCCCACGGCCATCCCAAGGTTGCAAAGTGGTAAAGGTGATTGGCTGTGTTCTTACCCCTACTGTACTTCCAAATGGGGCCATGGACATGATGTCTATTTTTTGAAAATTATTTTTGGTATTAACTTATTAGATGAATAGAAAAGTATTTAAGCATTCATTCAATATCCTTGATATCGAGGTAAAGGTCCAAGTACAGTACTAGTACAAGCTTTGTTCTCACAGGTAAAGCAATACCACGCCTCCAGCCTTCATGTTTCTCAGTCAGCTGAGAAAGGCTTTAGCTGAAATAAAAGACTAGAAATTGGATGGATAGTAAACTACTGAGACTAGTAACTATGGTAAGCAAGTCGTACAGGCCTGGGTCACGCGCTCGGCCCCTTGGACCTTAATAGCAGCACCAAAATGTCCACAAGTGGTTTTGCCTCACTAGTTACATGTAGTTCATGTAGTGTCCCTTCTTGCAAATCAAAGTTACAACTACTTTGCAAAAATGTCGTGCAATAGTGGAAATACCATTACAGTCATAACAAGAAGGCCATACTGCTACTCGAGTGCCCTAGTTGTCCTACTATTGAGGTGAATATGCCTCACTGTGAGGAGAAACAGCATACAAGTAAGTGGACCGTAAAATGACTTGCAAATAAATGCACCAATGGTTTTGACTGACAACTACAAGAAATGCTTTTCCACTGCGTATTTTTTTCTAATCAAACTCCAGCATGAATAGGTATGAAACAGTTAAACGTAACCAGTCAGTATTTACAGTACATAAACGTGAGCTGTGCCTGTGTCTTGAAAAGAGGAACTAAAAGATCTAAATTAAGATCATTTACAATATTCCTATCCTTTTTGGGAAGATGACAGTCCTGAAACAAGAAAATCATTTAGTATCAAAATCAAACATTTTCCTTGACACGCTAAAATCTCCAGTACTTTGAGGGCACACAGTGGGATTTTTTTGTATGTTGAAATGTTGATTTGTCGCACAAAAATGACAAAAAAACATGTGCAGTAGTTATGGAGTCTCAGCACTAAGGAAAATAAAAAGATAGCTCGATAGATAGCTCGATAGATAGCTCGATAGATAGATAGAAATTTTATGTATAAAACGTGGAAGTACTGTGGCAATACTTGAGGGTTCAGTGCAGGACACGATGTGACGTGATCAATTTCCTAATCTCATTCATTTCGCAACTGCATTTCTCCAATTAACCACTAGGTGTCAGACCTGTCATATGAGTGGATTTAAACGAAAGGGGGTGGCGCTTGGATGACAGTATTACAACAAACGTCTACGATACGTCCACTATAGCTCGCTCGCGCGCTCTCTCTCTCTCTCTCTCTCTCTCTCTCTCTCTCTCTCTCTCTCTCTCTCTCTCTCTCTATATACATATTTTTTTTCCCTCCCTCACACTCAACATGGTTGCACACACATTTGGAAGTACTTCATCCTAACATCTGCCAAGTTTTCACTCTTTCAACCGACGCTTCTGGTGGTTTTTCATAAAGATGAAAGAACGTGCAAGTAGTCAATATTTTAACTTGAACAAGTGTGCCTCGCCGTTCTGAGGTTCCATGTTCGAATCTCGAACCTGGCCTTTTCTGTGTGCAGTGACATTCAAACATTTGCAAACTCCACGCAGAAAGGCCAGCACCGCAATTCGAGCACAGACCCTTACGACAGAGGCAGATGTGCAAACTACTACAGTCACGATGCTGCTTCAGCACTGATACTGTGCTTGGAGTGCACTATTGAGACGCTGTCGAGTGACTAATTTGTGTTTCTGAACGACGACGACAGCGTGATGTCAGTTATGGGAAGTTGATTTATAGTCCACCCACTGTGGCA